TCTAATAATATTTCGAAATACTTCCATCAATTACATGCCTTTTCTAGGATAGAGGGAGCTCGTCTTTCTCACCGTCCTTCACCCATCCAGACCTTCTCCATTCTAGACTTCATTTTGCCTTTCACGTTCAGAGCCCAAGCCCCATAATCTCTTGTCTGTCCCATCCGTCATGTGCACATTTGGCTCTACGTTCATCCTGTCTCCACTGCGTGACTAAGGATGTATCTGCTTGTGCCATTGACCCGCTCCATGCCTACAGAGTGACGCCTAACCTTGCCAACTTGGCGAGTGTTGGATTGACTGACAGAGCCTCTTCCTACTCCTTCCCTGTGAGTTCAGTTCTAATCAGACTAAAAGAGAACTCGACATAAACCTAGAGGAAAAACCCACCAAGTTTGACACCCTTCCCCTCTTGAGGCTCATGGCCTCTCTTGGGCCTTTGACTGGCTAGAACTGTGGGTATAATAACTTGACTTTGTTTCATCTGCAGTCAAGTACATTCGAAACTGTACAGGGCATCCTGCTTCCACCCGCTCTCCACAGAGCTGTAGGTAAGAATCGGGGGTAAAAAAGAAAAAATGGTTTTCTTTATCAAAAACATAATATGAAAGGGGCTTTGAAGACTTGGCAGGGCACAGGGCCTGTGGAGTTATTAAAGAGCAGATAAGGCCTCTGGACAAAAGAGGAGAAGTTGGGTACAAGCTGTTTCCTCTGATAAAATGCCCACCACCTGGGACAGGCCAGAGGGCAGTGGACATGCTGGAGTGGAGCTGGGGAAGTTGCTGGACCTGTGGGTCACGGTAAGTTGGAGAGAAAGTAGATTTAGAATCCCACATGCTCCACAGAGGCTTCTGTAGCTTGGGGAATGGAGCTAAGAGGTTAAGAAAATTTCCCAAGAGTCTGCTGGTCATCCAAAGCTCCTCTCAGCTCCCTCTCCATGTGGGTCCTAACCCTGGCTGTGCATCAGACACCTAGGGGATTGTAAGGATACAGCAGCCCAGGGCACCCCATCCAGCCCCAGCTGAATTAGAATTTCAGGGCACACACCTTGGGCACCAGTATTTTAAAATATACATAAGCAGAGATAAAGGAAGAGCCACAAACTATAAGAAAACATTTATGAAGCTACACATTTAAAGCCAGGTGTGACAGCTTGTACCTTTAACATTTGGGTAGCAAAGACAGGTGGACTTCTGCGAGTTTGAGGTCAGCCAGGTTTGCACAGTGAGTCCCAGGCCTATCAATGCTGTATAATGAGACCCCACCTCTATAAAACAAAACCATCCACTTAAAGAAGGATTTGCATCTGGAATATATAGCTTCATGTATCCTAGGCTGGCCTTGATCAAGATGTAGTCAGGGGGGCACCAACGAAAGCTAGTGCTGAGCTCTTGGACCCCCAAACTGCAAGATACACAGCAACTGTACACACGTGCACACAGCAACTGCACACACACACACTAAAGTATAATATTTAACTGCCAGAATCTAGCATATATATATATATATGAATGATACACCTAGCTTGAAAAGATGCAGTGAGCCCAAACCCACGTTTTACAGCAGGTGCATCCAATAGAGAACAAGTTACTTAGTGCTGTGGTCTAGGCATTGTACCAGGTACTTGGTAAAGATCTCATTTAGATCCACAATAACTTTACAATAGAGACATTTTTACACATTTTCAGAATGGGGACGTTCCAGAGGTCTCCTTAAGGTTCTCAGCTAGATAGCAGCTTAACCGGGCTCCAAGCCGAAACCCAGCCTCTCTGACCACACACTGCTTCAGATTCTATATTGTGCACCTTCTCTCTGCTGTCACTTCCTGCCTCTAGCCTCACTTTGTTAGTACTTTTATTCCAGAATTTCCCTGACTTCACTGAAATTGGCAGTTTCCACTGATCTTACCCCTTCTCTTGTCTGTTCATCGTCACTAATTTTTGTTAGCATACAAAAGAATGGGTTTCCCTGTGACACTTCATCTGGGGCCATCCTTAGACCTGTGCACATTCACCCTCCTGACCTAACCAGTCGCCATGGAAACCATCGCTCTCATGGGTTCCCGACCTCAGCATCCCTGGTGTTCAGGACAGTTTTCTTCTCCTTTGCAAGCCCTTTTAATCCCATTGTTCTTTTCTCTCTGCGTGGCACAGGGTAAACCTGTCATTCTAACATCCTCTTATCACCAGGCAGTAACTATCGCTGGAGACAAACGCCGACGGAGTGACTCGGCGTCCTCACGCTGCTAAGTCAAGTTTTAATGGCGGCCGGGAGGAGAAGCGAAAAAAGTATTCCCAAGGGTGGAGCTGGAGAGAAATTGGGCGATTGTTAAGGAGCAGTGGGGTGGTTGCTTAAGTTCTAAGTGATATGGGGGTGACGGGGCAGGGAAATGAGATTGTGGGGAGGGGGCATTTGTGACCAAACTGTACAACAGTGCGAGACCTGGCTGAAGAACCCCATTGCAGATCTGGCAATATTGGCATGAGTGATTTTGGTTTTGGCCCTGGCTGAGGCTCTGAAGGATCCTGGCTGGTCTCAGCAGTCGGATGACTCAGTCAGAGAGTGTGGAGAGATGCGGTGGATGGGGCCATCTGGAGAGATGGCAGAGGCAGGTTTCTCTTCTGGCGCCTGGTGCAGTGGTGAAGACAAGCTGCCGAGTGACATCCGAGTCTGCAGTGGAGCCAGGCCAGGAGGAGGCTGGGAAATGCTAGACAACCAATCCCATGACAGCAGCCGACTTCAGGTCTGCGGTGTGACGTCACTGCGCGCAAAGCCAGAAAGCAGTGTGACCTATCAGGGCTGCAAACAGCCGGTGCAAACTGGTCTCAGCTTCATAGTGGCTGGCTGAGTTCCGAGTTCTCCGTTAATGAAGAAGTAGATATGACACAGTGCTGTGAGTATTGAGGCAGGGGATGGGCTCCCAGGATGCAATTGCTTGGGAAGGATGATGATTCGCGCATACAGGATTCTTTTCAGCCTGGGGACTGTACCCAACTAGACAGGGACCTAGGGAAAGCTGTATGGTACTCATTAACTGTCACGGGTCTTAGGAGACTGTCCTAGCCTCTGTGCCACTTGGGAAAGAGTCGTAACAAGAGATTGTGCACATCGGGTTGGTTTGTGGGCATGTCTACTGGGGATTGTCTTTAGGTTATTTGATGGGGAAGAAGACCCAGGCCGCTGTGGGTGTGCACCATTCTCCTGATGGGAGTTCTGAACTGTTGAAGATTAGAGAGGACAAGTCGAGCTGAGCACTACCAAGCAGGCGAGTGATCATGAAGGCCTTATCTTCTTCCTGTTCCTGCCCATGGCCAGCTGTTTCAAAATTCTGTTGCTATGACTTAGCCCACGATGATGGACTGTGCCCTAGAATTGTGAGCTGAAATAAACCCCTTTCCACATTAAGTTGCTTCTGGTTAAGGTATTTTAATACAGCAACATAGAAGAAACCAGAACAGCCCTCTAGCACGATGCCTGCTTCTTGTTCTGTTGTCTCCAATCAATTCTATAATGATATTCCTTTCAGAGCCATACATCTGTGATGAATAATTTTTGTCAATAAAATTTGGGAAGAATTGAAATCACATTATTTGTTTCAAGTAGCTGGATGATTCAGTCATGTGAATAACGCATTTCATTTTAAAGGGACAGAAGTCCTTTAGTCTGCATGAACCGCATCTGTTGAGTTTTCATGCAGAAGAAAGGGCGATTCCAGGAAAGGGAATGGGTCCCGTTGACTGTGAGACTCAGTTCCGATGGATCTCTCCTTACTAACTGAAAAGTGCCACCATACTTTTGAGTCTAGGTGAAACATGCCAGTATACTTTTGGGTTTGCTGTTTGCCAACTATCTTGCTCCTTCATGGATGGAGACTAAATATTACTATTTAATAAGGATTATGGTACCGTAGGGCTTTTCTTGTGGAGCTGTGCACGTCATTAGAACTGCTGTCCCAGAACAGTTAAAGAGCCAGACCTCTCGCTGCCATCGACTGATACAATCTGCCTCCCCATGCCCAGCAGAGTCTAATGTTTTCTGCCATTGCCACAAAGAATCAGGATGCTCTCCTCTCCCTTTTTTCTTCTTCTTTCTCTCTTTTTTTTTTCAAGTTGTTTGTTGACCTACTTCTGGCACTCTGGGAAGATGCTCTGGCCTGCAGCTCTCGAGAAAATGAAGTGAAGGAAGAAAGGCAATAGGAGAGCCGGTCCACAAATCACCAACATGCAGGCCTTGGCATCCTGCTTTTGAATTAGCTGTTTGACCCTGAGCCAAGGGAGAGAGGGGCTGCTGACCTCCCTGTGGGGGATGGGTTCCCTGAGGTTGCTGAGGGGGCAGTGTTGTATATCTTCAGCAGCCCTAGATCCCCTGGTGTGGCTGCTGCCCCCAGGGCCAGCTTGAGCACCTCAAATGCCAGTCAAGTCAGAGTAATTGACTTGTGTTTGCTACTTTGCACAGCTTTTCCTTTATTTTATACTGGCCCTGCACTCTGCTCCTCCTGCTAGGAGACCCAACCCATCTTCCCAGGAAAGGAAGTGTTAAAGCAGAAACAAAGTAACCAGAACATAACAGAGGTAGAAGCTGGGAGACCAGAAGCCTGGGCACCAATAGCTGCTTGTACTGAAAACCACTAAAAATGGAAGCTATTACAATCAGGCCAAAACCTAGTCCTCTATCTACATAGCATTGGAGATGACAAAAGCAGACAATCCACTTCACGGTCCCTTTGGACAGCTCATTGCTAACTATTCCAGAAGAGTCTGGGGAGATGGCTCCATTGGAAGGGCATTTGCTGATCATACTGTCAGTATGGGTTCAATCCCCAGGACCTATCTAGTGGCAGGGGAGAACCGACTCCCACACGTTGTCTTCTGGCCACCACACACAGGCTCTGGCATGTGCCCCTGCATCACGTAAATAAACAAATGTCGCAGTCGATTCTCTGTAAGAGTGGAATGAGCTGCAAGCAGGTCAGCAAGCAACCCTGTCTCCTAGACACTCACCTGATAGTATGGACGCAACGGCAGCAATGATGAAGGACACAATCACGCCAGGTCCTGCCATTTCCTTGGCCACCAGCCCAGACACCACATACATGCCAGTGCCCACGCAGCTGCCGACTCCGAGAGAGATGAGGTCCACGGTGGTGAGCACCTGGGCTAGCTTGGTGCCATGTGCGGTGGTAGTCCCTGTTCCTTCTAGCATGGACTCCACTGGCTTGGTGCGCAGGATCCGAGAGTGCATTGCGTACCAGGCAGCCCCCCACTGCACCCGCCGGGGGTCCACGGAGGCCAGAAAACCACTCATCGTGAATGGTACGGTTGCAGTGAAGGTTTGAAGACGGTAATGAGTACAGAAGTCTTAGTGGATGACCCTTGAACTCATGGAGCAATGAGTGTGTGTCTTTTTAAGAAAGGCCCAGTGGGACCCAAAGCCGTCTTGACTTGGGCATGAACGTCTGCAAGAGAAAGACAAGAAAGAAGATAAGAGTAGTGGGAGGCAAAGCACGTCTTGGAGGCACGTTGGGCATACGCTCTGAACAGGTGCAATGAGAATGTTCTTTGTGCTCACAACATGGGGACTTTCCATCTCTCTGTTCTCCCTTCTGAATTCCCTTCCAGTCCCACATCACGGTCTGAAGCTTGTGCCGTGTCTCATAATCATCCCAGAGACTGGTTTATTTTTTTCTTGTTTTTTTTTTTTTTTTTAATTAAATTTATTTATTAAACATTTCTGCCTCCTCCCCACCACTGCCTCCCATTTCCCTCCCCCTCCCTCCAACAAATCCCCCTCCCCCAATCAAGTCCCCTTCCTCGTCAGCCCAAAGAGCAATCAGGGTTCCCTGACCTGTGAGAAGTCCGAGGACCACCCACCTCAATCCAGGTCTAGTAAGGTGAGCATCCGAACTGCCTAGGCTCCCACAAAGCCAGTACGCGCAGTAGGATCAAAAACCCATTGCCATTGTTCTTGAGTTCTCAGTAGTCCTCATTATCCGCTATGTTCAGCGAGTCCGGTTTTAACCCAGGCTTTTTCAGACCCAGGCCAGCTGGCCTTGGTGAGTTCCCGATAGAACATCCCCATTGTCTCAGTGTGTGGGTGCACCCCTCGCGGTCCTGAGATCCTTGCTCGTGCTCTCTCTCCTGGTGCTCCTGATTTGGACCTTGAGATTTCAGTCCGGTGCTCCAATGTGGGTCTCTGCCAGAGACTGGTTTAATATAAGATCCACTGTAAGCCATTTCCAGTCTCTGTGCTTTAGTCTTAGGTGTCACAGGCCAATAAAATCTTGACCAGAATGAAGACATTCTGAAAAGATGCATGTTCCCTCTCTTTGCAAATTCCAACCATACTTCAAGAAATTAGATTTTCTTTAAGAATCATACTGGGAGAAGGAAAATGTTAGGGCCCTGGTGCCAGCTGGGAGAGTTCATTCCCTAGAAAGATATGCCATATGGTTCTGACACCTCGCAGGAGAGACTGTGACCCGCATGTTGGTGTTGGGATCACTAATGAGGGCTGCTCCGCTATGCGTACCTTCAAATAGCCCTCTAGTTAAACCCATAGCTCCTGTGAGGACCCTGAAGATGGACTTAGAAGAGGGCTTCAAGCTTTTTGTTTTTCTTCCAGTGTTGCCACACTGAATGAGTCTCCCTTTGTTTTTAGCTACTTGTTTGTCTTTTTCACTTGTCCCCTGTAGTTGGTAAGTTTTCTGTTATTGAGACAAATAGTCTGATGAAAGCAACTCAAGGAATGAAGGCTCACGGTTCCAGAGGGGTGGTGTAGGTGGAATTTTCCTGTCTTGCCAGCTGCTCCCAAATAACCACTCAGAGCTTATACTAACTACAAATGCTTGGCTAATAGCTCAGGCTTATTACCAGCTAACTCTTACATTTAAACTAGCTCATATTTCTTATCTATGCTTTGTCACATGACTTGGTATCTTTCCTCACAAGGCATGCCCATCTTGCTTCTTTCTGTGTCTGCTTGTGACTTCTGACTCTGCCCTTCTTCCTCCCAGCATTCTCTCAGTATGGCTCTCCTGTCCAATCTCTTCCTGCCCAGCTGTTGCCCAGCCAGCTTCTTTATTAAGCAAAGCACAGCGACACATATTCACACCGAGTAAAGGAATATCCCACAGCAGGGTAGAGTTTGTTGTGATGGGGATGACAAGGCATTAGGTGGGGAAAGCATGCCGCAGGTGCAGAAAACTGGCTAACGGTGCTTCTAATAACACACAGGAAGCTGAGAGGGAACAGGAGCACGGTGAAGCTAGAAAATCTCAGAGCCTACGGACGTACTTCCTCCAACAAGGCTCCACATCCTGAAAGTTCTACAATCCTCGCAATAGAACCACTAGCAGGGAAGCAAATGCTCAAATACATGAGCCTAAGAGGGACATTTTTCATTCAAGCAACCATACCTATTGAGGACAGGAGGCTGAACCTAGTTCCTAGGGCTGCCAGGGCCTAGGCTCTGACCCAACAGCTCCAGCAACTAAGACTTCTTCTTGGTGTTAGTGGGATGACAGGTCAGTGCATGCATGTAAGAAGCTGAGGATGAGACCTGGCTCATAGGAAGCGCTTAGCCGCCTCAGCTCCTATGTACTTCTTACTTGGCTCTGTCAAGATTTGATGTGTAATGCTGGGTATATTCTTTGTGAACACAACATCCTCATTTGTTAAAACAACAACAACAACAACAATAGAATGCAAAATTCGATCCCTGATTCTTAAGAGGGGTCATGCCACGTATGGAGTTGTTTTGAATTTGGCTTTCAGATAAAACAGAAAATGATTTGGGCACTTTCTTGCTTTGGCAGATTATACGGTGAGGAATTCTGCAGACATCTGGGGGTGGGCTGGGGCTAACAGTGGAAAGGCACAGGATGGTGGCATGTATCTCTGGTAGATCTCACTTGAGGTTCCTGAATATAAGCATCTTGGCAATGGTGATCTGAGCCTCAATACTGAACCTAAAAGTCTGCCTGATGTATCAGCATGCGGGATATTTTGGATGGTCTTAAAATATCTAGACACTGAAACTTCCAGTAAATCAACTCTAGAGTAAGTGAAATGGGGGTTGTAATTTGATACGTTTGGATTTTAACAGGGCTTGTTCACCATCTGGGGAGACTGAGCTTCTCACAGCGATGTTGTTCATGGGATTGTGCCACTCTTAGCCCCTTCTAGCAGCTGGCTGGTGGGAGTGTGCATGCCCACAATGGGTCATCACGAGCTGGCTGGTGAGAGTGGGTGTATCTACCCTGGGTCTTCACTAAATACGCTGGGTAGGTTTTTTTTTTTTTTTTTTTTTTTTTTTTTTTTTTTTTTTTTTTTTTGTCACCTGGACACAAATTGGGACATCTGGGAAGAGACACCCTTAGTGGAGAAAATGTCTGGGAGGCAAGTCTGTGGGCATTTTCTTTGTTGATGACTGATGTAGGAGAGCGCTGATGTAGCAGACCCCCCCTCCCCGTGTATGCCTTGAAGCTACTTTCTCTAGCAGTCAGAAGCTCTATAGGATTCAAGAAAGAAATTTGGAAGGATGCGCAACATTGAGTCCGAGAGCTGCACTGGGAACCCTGGGCTATTTACACACAGAAGTCCCTGCCGACGTAATCCGTAGCTATTATTAGCTTTTGATCAGGGACTTGCTAGGTAGTGTGCCTGGTCTCAAAGTTGGTGATTCTCCTGCATTCTTGTCCTGAATATTGTGACTACAGGTGTGTGTCACAACACCTAGCTAACATTCTTAATTAATACTGCTTATCACATAATGTTGTGCTTCTCACTTCTTGAAGGCTTTGCAAACACTGACTAATTAGGAGAGTCAGGTGAAATGCAGGAGGTTGGTTCACAGAGTTTGGGGACAGTCTTTCTGGTTTAATTTCCTCCTGGAGCCTGTGTCTATATTATGCCCTTCCTCCTTGTCAGGTCCAAGTTCTGACCAGTAGACAAAAACCAGCATTCCTTGGGAACTTGTGAAACCAATCCCTCTACCGAAGGAGCCACTTGCTTTTTCTTGGCAGAAGAGACAAATGGCTACCTGTAGTGTCTATTAGTATATCATCAAACACATGGCGGTCTCCACGCACCCTCAGTATCACAAGTACCAGCCACACATTTCAGAGTCATGCTGAAGCCTGGCTCTTCTCCTCCTGTTCCTTACTCTGAACTTCTCAGCTCCAGGGCGCCCCTCTCCTAGCTCTTCATTTCTCCTTAAAACCCTGCTATTTTGACTTTCTTCCTTCTCTTTTGTCTTCTGCTCTTGGTCCTCTGGCTCCAACCACCCAAGCCCATGCCCACTCCGCCATGTTCAGTCTGCTACTTTCACTCTCTGCTCTGGACTCTTCCAGACACCTCTGGATGTTCTTTACAGATCTACAATAAAACCTTCCCCTTAATCATACCTTTGAACGGTCATGTGATCAGTTTATACACTACTCCCCCTCCTCCTTCTCTTCATTTTTCTTCCTATCTCATACTTCCCCTTCATCCACAGCCTCTCTCCTCTTCTTCATCTTCATCTTTCTGTGTCTTCTTTCCTGATTAATGAAGCAATAGGACCCATGGATCACAGAGTCCTAGTTTGGTTGTGGCCTTATAGGAAAATGAGTGTGGAGGCATGGCTGCCCTTCACACCTGATTGGTGGTGCACCGTGTTACTTCCTGCCTAATTGGTGGGGCACTGTTCAACAGCCTTAACAAACTAATAGAGACTGTGAAAGAAATAAGACAGAAGCAACAGCACCAGCTGATATGTCGAGGTGAATGGGGGAGTTTCACAAGGCCCCAGCCCCAGATGAAGAGCTACAGGCATTCAATGGCTGCGGAGAGAGAAAGAGTCAGTGTTCTCCAGGTTCAAAGCCCCTGGATGGCTAGCCAGTCCCAAGTGGTCAGTCTTAAACATGTACATGCAAGCAATGCTAAATGGACTCAGTAGGTTATGCATACAAACATGCATATATATGTAATTCTTTAATAATTAGAGGAGGCCAGAGAGATGGCTCAGCTGTTAAAGGCTAGGCTAACAACCAAAAAAATATAAGAGAAGAGGTCATAAACTTGAGAGGGGATGGGGATAGGGGAAGAACTGGAAGAGGGAGAGGGAAAGATGTAAATACACTACTCATGTGTGAAATTTTCAAAAATAAACAAAAATAAAACTAAGTGGTTAAGGGTGGGGAGTTCTCTGGAGACCCGGCATTGGTTCTTGAGTAACTAGGGGGCTGGCTGTACCCAGGATCAGGGAAGTTCTTGGCAGAGTGAGGAGAAAGATCTGAGTGCCATGAACGAGTTAGGTGAACGGCAGCAGCAGCCTAGCACGAGCCTTTGCAGAGGGACAAGGGAGGCAGAAAAGGTGCAGAAGCTGCCCAAAGTCACAGCCTTCTCAAGAGTGGTACGGAGCTTGCCATATGCTCTTGCAGGGCTGGTGCCAGCATTCCCGACTGTCCTGATGAAA